TTAAGTATAGCAAGAAGTTCTCCCAACTGGACAGAGCCAGGATTAGGGACGATGTGGGTGATATCCATTTTTCCAGGACTATGTATCAGGACCCCAAAGTTCTTATTAGCATCCAAAAAGGCAGTGGTTGCTTGGGGAGTTGGCGAAGGAGTGTTGTGGGGCTTAACTTCAAGTGGCAATGTGAGAAGGGCCTGAATTCTTTTGTCTTGGGGCAGGTGATTGCCAATGGTGCCAGGGAAGCCTGACATCATAGTCTGAAAACTTACGGAATTGGCCCAGAGGGCCTGTAGGTTATGGAGGGGAAAGGGGAGCACAATAGCATCAGGTTCTCTATTGAAGGTCTTTTGAGCTTGAGTGTGCAGTTTGACTGCCAAGTTAAAGGCCAGATCAAACTTGGAGGAAACCTGCTGGAGCTCTGAGTATGAGAGATGGACCCAGATAAGTGGTCCATTCTGCCAAAGGGCACCAAGGAAGCCAGAAGTCAATAGCACTAAAGCCTGTAGGGATTGTAAGGGCTCATATCTGTCGAGGGTTGTTGACGAGAGTAACCCAGTGATCTTTTGTAATAAGGGAATGGCCGGGGGAGTTAAGTTAATCTTTGCTGAAGGGCAGGTGGGGCCCTCCAAAAGAGAAAACAGCTCCCTCAATTCCTCCGAGGGAATGGGCAAGAACGGTTTAAGCCAATTATGGTGCCACAGAGTTGTTGAAAATTGGCTAGTGGATAGACCAGCCTTGAATTAAAGGCAGGGGCCATAGGGTGTATGCCGACTGAAATGGTATGCCCCAAAAAGGCATAAGGAGGTACCTCCTGTAGCTTATCTAAGGTGATACACAAGCCAAGGGACAATAGGCGGAAGAGTAAGTCTCTGGTTACCTTGCAGAGAAATTGTGGGTTAGGGTGGGACAACAGAAAGTCATCCATATAGTGAATAAATTGTACACTATGAGGGATGGGTGAAGTGGCTTGTGAGACAAAAAGCTGACAAATAGTAAGACTGTTTTTCATTCCCTGGGGAAGGATTTTCCATTGATATCTGAGGGCCGGTTTGTGGAAGTTAGGTTCCCAAACTGTAAAGGCAAAGTGATCATGATCTTGGGGGGCCACCGGGATTGAGAAGAAGCAATCCTTAATATCAAGTGTTATGATATAATAACAAGGAGGAATAGCACCAGGGTGGGGCAAGCCGGCCTGTGTCGAGCCCATTTTTTCCATTTGGTCATTAATGGCACGTAAGTCCTGAAGCAATCTAAAACGACCATTTTTCTTTTTTATAGAGAATATTGGAGTATTATATTTATGAGTGGATGGTTCCAAATGTCCGAGGTCCAGCTGTTCCTGGACCAAATTTTTGAGGTTAGACAATTTAGGTTCTATAATAGGCCACTGCTTCACCCAAATTGCATCTGTCGAGGGCCAGGTAAGCATGATCGGTATGGGAGACTCCTTAGGGGATGTCCCAGGGAGGACAGTGGCCCTTAGAATTGGGGGTGCTGGTCAGGGCTCTGATTTCTCCCAGAGAGGCCAAGTTTATCATGGGCTATGACATCATCATAAAAGGCTTGATCGTCTGTGGTAAGGACCACACCCATGTCCTCCAGGACATCTCGACCCCACAAGTTGTGGGGGATGTCGACCACTGTGGAAGTGAATGTGCCCTTACTCTCGTCTAAGTCCTTCCAGTGTACTGGGCAGACGACCAGCTTTGTGTCCTGGCTGCCCCCAACTCCCTTAATGGGCGGGCCAGGCTGATATTTCCGATGGTGGAACTGAAGAGACTTGCTCTCGGTGATGATGGTAACATCGGCTCCCATGTCCACTAGGCCCTTCACAGTAATCCCATCCAGAAATAAGTTCATTAGGGGGAAGTGATTAAGAATCGGAAGGGTCCATAAAATCTGTCTCGTTCTCCCTCTTACTTGTGGGGCTGAGGGGCGCCCCGGGTGGAGTTTAAAGGAGCCGAGTCTGATTGGGGCTGTGACCTACAATCTTTTGCCCAATGAAATCTCTTTTTGCATTTGGGGCAGCGGGTCTTTGGATGAGCTCTGTTGTTCGGGCAGTCCCTGAGGAGATGTCCTGTCCTCCCGCAGTTTCAGCTGCCATCTTTTGAATCGGAGGTGGTGGGCCTTGCTTGTAATAAGAGCACCTCTAAGGAGGCGGTCAGGGCCTCAATGGGCCCTGTCCTAGGATCTAGGTCTCTAGTGGCGAGTACCCATTTATGAATATCATCATTGCTGACAGGTGCGCTAGCATTGCAGGTAGGGGTATTTAGGCCCTCCCATGTCAGTTGTTTGATAAGCATATCATGGGTGGGTCCAGACTCCACTGTCTGTTCCACTGCCCTGGTTACATGGGTGAGGAAGTCCGTGAAGGACTCCCCTGGCTGCTGAATCAAATTGTGGAAGAATTTCTGCCTGTGGGTCATGGGGGGAGCAACACTTAAGGGCCTTGAAGGCCAGGTCACTAACTTGTTGGTAGTAAGCATGAAGGCCAAATGGGGTCAATATATTGGCCACGTCCTGTGAGCATATCCAGAGTAATATTAAGGCCGTATTGAAAGTTGAGACGTGTCTGATTTTCAGCCTGATCGTTGTAAGCCGAACACCAGCTCAGGAAGACTGAGGGCTCCAAAACAGCCTTTGATAAGTTATACCAATTGTAATGGGTCTAACTGCATGGCCCATTGGTGGAGAACTTGCTCAAAATATGGGGAAATGGGGCCTGATTCATTGGTGGCTTTGCAGATGAGTGCATGTTCTGTGAGAGTGGTGGGCACCCATGGCTGTTGGACAGCGTTTGGGCCGACATTAACTGGAAAGGTGGACAGTGGCCAGCAAGGGGTGGGTGGGCCATAGAGGGGTAGCGGGAGGTGCGTTGGAGCAGGCAGAACGTAGTTCCTTCCAGGGGTAATGGGGTGGTGGTGTCTCCAATTGTTGTGGCTTTGAAAGCGGGCTCTGAGGTAGAGGCAAGGGGGCCCCTTCCTCATCTGGCTTGACCTCAGGGCTGGTTCCCATATCAAGGCCAGTGGGGGTTGAGGTAATGGCAAGGTCTACACTGGCCTGATCCTGACAGTGCTTATTGTGGGCTGAAATGACTTCTTCAGGGGAGGAGGACTTAAGACTGGCAATGATGGCTAAAAGGATTGGGACTAACGAGGCAGGGGAATTGACTCCCAATCCTACTTCCCTTTTTCGGGCCAAGAAGAGGCCCTGCATCCAGAGGTCAGGATCCCACATATTCTCGGGAGAGACCCAAGGGGCCAAGTTAGTGGCCTCATCCCAGAGATTTTTAATATCTTTTGGTTTAACTTTCAGTCCCCAAGTACCAAGGAGCGATTTGAGCTCTGCCATTTGTGGCTCCTTGCACTGTGGTGGTAAGTTGCCCATCGTGGGAAGGTCCTGTGAAAGGAAACGTGCCACAAAAGTAAAAGGCAAGGGTGACTACCAAGAGGGGACAAATGAAGCAAACAAGGACCATGAGCCACTCGGACATAAACTGCCCTGGCATGAAGAGGTGTATCGGATCCAAATGTCTTGTGCTTAGTGAGGGACTTCTGAAGGCCGTGACACCTTCAGCCATATGCTCACACAGTGTCTCCGGGACAGGCAACAGGATGACCCGAACTGGGCTCTGAGTTCAGGATGGATCAGTGCTTATGTGAACTTACCAGGATGAGCCGAGAAGGGAAAGGTGCAGACGTGGGCTTTGGGACCACATGGTGGAGTGTGCTTTCCTGATTTAACAACAAATATGACAAACAGGTTAGAGGGGACAGAGGAGGGGGCCACTTGCTCACCCTCAAGCAGCTGAACGGACAGACAAAACCCGGGGCCTGCTCACTGAACGAACCGAAGTTGGGGGCATCGCCAACGCCGGGGGCGGGGGCCAGGAACCTTGTTCAGGCACCAGCTGTTGCAGGTTTCCTTGTGGGTCCAGCCCACGAAGGACTGCAGGGAACGAGGGATCTGGCTGAGGTGGGGGTGAGCAGTGCAGTCAACACACAGACACCAGGAGTTGGGTGGAAGCAGGCACTAGGCAAAGTGCTGCAGACTTGTTTATTGCTGGGAAGTGCAGACCTTATATATCTCTCCCCCTGCACCCAGTGTCCCATAAGCTGGTGTGTCGCTCCCTGATAGATCCCCCTCCTCCATGCAGATTGTAGGTTGGCTCTTTTGCAGAAGCATGGGCTGTGCTCTCCAGGCAGAAGCTGTGCTCCCTAGTATGTCCTGTGCTTAGGCCTGGCACTTCCTCTCCTACAAAGCTCATGGTATTAAGAAGTCAGTATGATCAGTTGGTCCCAATGGAGAGAGAAGCAGAGGATCTGGTATAAAAGGTCAAAGAATTAACCTCACTCCCAAGAGGAATGGGGAATGAACTATCTTGGGGTACTAACATAAGTTCACCCCATCTTCCTTTAAGACAATTAAGAGGGGCTGACCTCTGCCTGATTCCTGTAAATTCCCCAGAAGAGTGTGCTTGTGAGTCCGAGAAATGGCCTAACCGCCAAACCTCAGAATGTTCTAATCTAGGGCTAACTGTTTATCTTGCTTCTGTATACTTGCTTTGCTTGCCCACACAGTTACAGGCTGTTCATTGGTGAATGTGATTGCCCACACAGTAACAGGCTGTTGATTGGTGAATTCAATCCCCCACAGTAACAGACTGTTGATTGGTGAATGTGATTGCCCACACAGTAACAAGCTGTTGATTGGTGAATTCAAATTTTGCTGTGTTATATAAACCTGATTAGCTCACAAATGCTCTGTTTGAATAATGCTTTCTGCAGTCCTATAAAAACCCTGGCCAGGTAGTGTTCGGGGCTGCTTCTATTCCTGAGATAGACAGCCTGGCTGGTCGTAATAAAGTTTTGCCTTGCTACTTTCTACCAAAATGGTGTTGGTGACTTTGTTTGATTGTGGACCTTTAACACATCTAGGTAAGTAAGACACACGTTTACTGCATACCGTTCCTCTATAACCTCTCCCCTTTTTTTCTTCCTTAGGTATTCGGATTTATAGCAAGTTTGATGTTCCTGTTTGACTTTGTTGTTATGCTCTGTGAAAAACGACAGGAGGGGCAGTTAAGAAAACCAGAGAACACTGCTCGGGCCGAAGCCCTCACGGAACCACTGAATGCTTAAAACCAGCTGGGCAGGTGCTGGTGAAGAGAAGAGACAGGCCTCCCTACTGCCTGCAGAGCTCCAGGAGAATCTGTCATTTGCAAATCACTTTGGGAGGGCAGAGGGGAAGCAGAGGCAGTTCTCAGTAAGGGGCAAAGTAGGTCAGAGGATTTCTTTTTATTACTATTTTTTAAGAACTGTTGGAACTTACCTTAAACGGAGGGGTTTTGTTCTTGTTTGTTTTGTTTTTAGAGGAGAGGAAGACAGTTGTTTAACTTAATGTCTCCACTGCTGATTGATGGCCTGTCATTCTGTTATAGGGCATCCCTCACCAGGCTTAGCTTTCAGATTGTGCCTTAGGGTTGTTTGAACAGCATGTCACATCCATCTAGTCAGAAACAGTTTCATTTTAAATTAATTTACTTAGCTATCTTTTTTTTGATTATTAGATTCTGTTCTTTTATTGGAAATTTAATGTATATTTAAGATGTCAGTGTTTAAAATGCTGGTGTAGGTGTCTTTCCTTTACTGTATCTCACTCAGCCTTAGGCTTATATGGTAACCTTTTAGGATAATGACTCTTAACTTTCCAAGACCTTTGTGTAACCTAATAGAAAGTGAATGAGGGCTGTGGTATTTTATGTGTATGAAAGTTGCAGCATCAGCAGCCTCATGGTGTTATACTGCACTTCAGTTGTTGACATAAAGTTTAAAAAAAATTGTTATGAAGCACATAGAAAAATTGAAGAAACTGTTATTATACCTGTGGACCAAAGATAAAATAGACACCTTGTCCAGTTCACTGAATGTAATCACTCAAACAGACCTGACCACTTCCCATGTGTGTGAAGAGTTCATACTGTGTTCATACATAGTTGATACTATGTTCATACTAGTTCACCCTGTGTTAGAAACGGTTGGTCACCCTTTGGCAGATGACTGTTTCTACTTCATTTGCCATAGTTCTGCAGGCTCCTTTTAAAGACCCAGCCTTTGGTTTCTCCCCTTTTGTGACCTTATCAGAATGGTCCCTGTGCTGCTTCACGTGTGGCAGAGGTGAGCCTTTGACTCTTCCCCTCCCCCCCTCCCCCCCCTCTTGTTCACCCACAGTTGTCTCAAGGTCATCCAGAATCTTGGGCCCTTTTTGTTACCAGAAGTCTGCAGCAGGAGTTCTTGTTCCCCCAGGACATGGCTTTTGTTTCTCTTCCAGATAGATGTCTTTAGAAAGCAAGTCTCTAGGATCCCTAGATCCTAGGGATGAGCACTGTTGCAGGTCTGAAGGAGAAGTCAAACTACTCTGAGACTTCTGATATAAATCGGCCAAAGGATTGCCTGTTGCTGGGACAAGCCCATTCTGCCCAAAGGGCACCTTTCTTGTCTTCCTCCTGGAGTTCGACCCAAGGCTCCAGTGTTAATGACAAGCCCATATGTCAAGGCAGTCTATGCTTTGGTAGAGGTTTCCCAGGCTAGGTTTTCTCTCTGGGGATCCAGTTTAAGGTTCCCATCCTTTTTAGTTTCTCATCTGCCATTGTGTGTGTAGATGGGTTTCAGTTATACAAACTCGGTTGTCATTTTCAGAACTGATGGTTCTCGGCGCACAGCCTCTGCTCTGTCATTGACTCAGTGCCTTATCCACTTGTATCCCATACAAGTGTGCATGCTAGTTAGTAGTGATGTCACATATAGTTAGTGGTGATGTCACACTGCCTGCCTGGGAGATCATGAAACCAATTGTGGATGTTGTTTTTACTGGGCAAGTCATCCAAGAGAGAGGAGAGAGTGCGCCCTTGGGACCCAGAATAGAGTAATTTCAGAAGTAACCAGTTTATGGTAGGCAATTGTAGAATTTCACATCAAGCCGTGCTGTTATTGGAAATATCATCTAGACCTATTGAAAATTGACAGAAAATCATCTAGGCTACCTTAGTGTCACTACCTGTTAGTCAGCTATCTGTTATGATAACAAATACTGGAGGTAATCAACTTAAAAAGAGGAAGGGTTGGGGCGGGAGAGATGGCCCAGAGGAAGAGCACTTCCTGATCTTCCAGAAGACCTGGGTTCATTTCCCAGCACCCACATCTATAGGCTCTCAAATGCCTGAAACTCCATCTCTGCGGGAATCCGGTGCCCTCACATGACATACAGTCATACACACACACACACACACACACACACACGTTTTAAAAAAGAAGAAAAAGGGTTTATCGTGGTTTGCAGTTTTGGAAACTTCAGCCACGGTAGGTGAGTCCTGTTGCTTCTGGTGAAACAGCAGCACATCATGGTAGGGAGTTAGAGCAAGCTGCTTGTCAGGTGCATGCAGAAAGCAGAAAGAGAAGGAGTGGGAGACTTAAGGTCCTGCAGTCCCCTTGGAGGGCATACCCCCAGTGGCCTAAGACCTTCTGCTAGGCCCACCTCTAAAAGCTTCCACCACCTCTTAGTAGAGTACTCTGGCGCACAAGACTTACACATCTGGGCTTTGGGACATTTCAGATCTAAACTCTAGTACCACTAGGACAAGCACTGGGCACAGTCAAGATGAACAGAAATGTGGGCTGGAGAGATGGCTCAGTGGTTAAGAGCACTGACTGCTCTTGTAGAGGACCCGGGTTCGATTCCCAGCACCCACATGGCGCCTATGAACTATCCTTAACTCCAGTTCCAGGGGAATCGGAAGCCCTCTTCTGACCTCCGTGGCATTGCAGAACATGGGTGCACCCACATACATGCAGGCAATACACTCATACACATAAAATAAAAAAATAAATAAAATATTTTTTAAAAAAGATGAACAGAAATGTTCTGACCTGGCTGCACACATCCAGCTGTCAGCATTGAGCTTCCTGACTGTGAGCTCCACTTTGTTTGATTGGTGCAGAGGAGGGCTCCTAGTTGGCCGCTTTGTCCTTTTTGTTTGGAAAGATAATTTGGTCACTTGTATTTCTGGTCACTTTTTAAAAAAAAAAAAAATTTTGTGTGTATGAATGTATTGCTTTCACATACGTAAGTGCATCCATGTCGTGCAATGCCTGATGAGGTCAGAAGAGGGCATTGGATCACCTTGAACTGGAGTTAGCTGCCTTTGGGGGCTAGGAATTGGACTTGGGTCCTCTGCAAAAGCAGCCAATGCTCTTAACCACTGAGCCATCTCTCCAACCCTCTAGTTACTCTTAGAACTTTTTTCCTCCTTGTTTTGCCCAGGCCCCTTGGCTGATTTAGCCTCTCTGTTCTACTGTGGAAGGAAATGGGAATAAAAGACCGGTACAGAGTAAGCTCAGCGAGTGGGACCAGAAACCGCTATGTCAAAATGGCAACCTCAGCAACCTCAGAAGTACATTTTTACTAACAGCGCTGGCTAATTTGTCTTGCTATATTTTATGCAAAGAAATTGTTTAGACTAGTTCTTAAAACTTATAAGTGAAATATACTTGCAGTACATAACTTTTATAATTATTATACTTAAATTATGCTTTATTGGAGACTGGGAAATGTATTTTTACATTGCTTACAGCCAATCATTTTTGTATTTGTCAGTTTAAATCTTGTGGGTCTTTTTGTATCTCTCAATGTCAAATTTTATAATCTTTTAAAATAAATCTGCTTAATTACAATGTTCATATCTTTGCAGTTGTTTATTACAAAAACATGAAACGTGTTTAAATGAAATGTCTGTGTTTGAGGGAGCTGGCTGGCTGTCCAGTCTTATGGAGAGCTTGCACAGAACACTAGGATTTGGGTGCACACAGTTGGAACGAGTGAGTCTGGAAAAGAAACAAGCCCATTCCCATACATGAGCTGTCCCTCTTGGTGGAACTTAGAATATACATTTACACAGCGTTTTTGGCAAGTGTGACAGCACAAAGGCCTGTAATCTGAGCACTCAGGAGGCTGAGGCAGGAGGATCACTAGTGTGAGGCCAGCTTGGTTGACACAGGAGTAAGACCCTGTCCACAAACAAACAAAAATATTCTTAGGGAGTCACATGTGATGACTTGTAAAATAATGTTCCAGACTTTTAAATTCTTTTTCCCACTCTTGGTTTTTATTTCTTTTGTTGTTGTTGTTGTTTTGTTATTGTGGTTTTTTTTTTTGATACAGAATCTCATGTAGCCCAGGCTAACTTCGAACTTACTGTGTAGCCAAGGATTACCTGAACTTCTGATCCTCTTGACTCTGCCTCCTAAGTTCCAGGGTCATAGGTGTGCAACACCATACCCACCTAAATAATTTTAAAGAAGTGAGTTTAAACTCTGCTTCACATTCTAGAGCTGGTCACAAACAAAATAGGTACAATCTGTCTGCAGCTGCTTACTGACAAGGAGAGAGTGCCACAAAACTAGGGAGGCTCTGCTGAAGCTGGAACTATGTGTGTAGTTTGCAGAATTCCTGCCTCCAGTCTAGGAGAATAACAAGATCCTTATGGTCATCAAGAACTCACTGGAATTTGTACATTCTTCAGAGTTTTGTGATGATAAAGAACATTGTATCAAATTGCAGCAAGCTGCCAAGAGCAGAAAACCAATGCAATGTCTTAGACAGTAGGGAAGACACTTCATGGGAAGGCTGGGAAGGGCACCAGGCTTGGTGGCCTGTCTGTAGTGGATCCAGGCACTTGGGGGGGCTGAGGCAGGAGCCCAGGAGTTCAAGACCAACCTGGTAAAATCAGTGGTTCGAGACTATTATCCTGAGCCCATCCTCTTCTGTAGGGAGTTTTGTCCTCAAAATTGAGACTTTGTAGTGTAAGATGATGGCAATATATCAAGACATCATCTCACAGGACAGTGTCCAAAGAAGAGAGGAATTGTTCATTTTCCCTGTGTCTCTTAAGATGTTTCTTTTGCGGATGCCCCTAGTGGACTTGACTCATCCCATTGAAAGATGTGGAATGCCCTTTGCTAAAAGTTAACACACTGCCATGGAGAACGGATGCACTGTGCCATTGGAGTACCACAAGACCGCCACCTTAGGAAGCTTGTATCCTGGTACCTATCAAAGTTCTGCTCTAACAAAGAAAAGGGGATTAGTGTGTTTGTTGTAGCTAGGAGAAATAAACCTGGTAATACACTTAGGAGAAATCAAACCCCCAGTTCAAAAAACATCTGTCAGGACTGGGGAGATGGCTCAGTGGTTGAGAGCAAGTACTACTCTTAGATCCTGAATTTGTTTCCCAGCACCCATGGGGTGGACTCACAGACCCCTAGAACTCCAGCTCCAGGGATCTGATGCCTCCTGGTCTCTGTGGGTACCTGCACTCACCCATGCGTGTACAGACACACACTTTTTTTTGTGGCATAAGCCCTTAATTCTTGCACTCAGGAGGCAGAGGCAGGCAAATCACTGAGTTTGAGGCCAGCCTGATCGACATAGCAAGTTCTAGGCCAGCCAGAGCTACATAATGAGACCTTAGCTCAAATAAAAAGAAGGAAAGGAAGGAAAAGGAAGGAAGGAAGGAAAAGGAAGGAAGGAAGGAAGGAAGGAAGGAAGGAAGGAAGGAAGGAAGGAAGGAAAAAAATAAATGGGCTGGAGAGATGGTTTATCAGTTATCTTCTGTCTGTCCTCAGGGGCATTGCACGACACAGGTGCACTTACATACATGCAGACAAAACATACTCATAAAAGAATTAAAAATAGAAGCTGGATGTGTTGGCACACACTGGGGATCCAGAGACTGGCCAATCCCTGAGGTTTTTGGACTAGCCAGTGTCGCCTACTTGGCAAGCTCCAGGGCTGTGAGAGACCTTGTTTCCAAAAACATGGTGGGTGGCTCCTGAGGGACAACACTGAGGTTGTCCTTTATTCTACACACAAACATATATATGCACCTAGACACATGCACCTACACACATCACCTACACACACATTTGCAGTCCTGACTACCTTGAAATATCCATTTTATTTTTTTAGACTAAATTATAATTCTATAAGTAACTATATCAGAAAATTATTAATAAGTGTAGCATTATTGGTTGATTTACTGATTAATTGATTTTTAGTTTTTTGAGACAGCATCTTCCTGTAGCCCCAGCTGGCCTGGTACTTGCTACCTAGACTAGGCTGGCCTTGATCTCAGAGAGATCCACCTGCCTCTGCCAGTGCTCTTAACTGCTGAGCCATCTGTCCAGTTCCCCCCGCCCCCCTTTTTTTTGTTGTCTTCCAAAACAGGGTCTCCCTGAACCCTAGCTGGCCTGGAACACACTCTGTAGACCAGGCTGCCCTCCATCTCACAGAGATCTGCCTGCCTCTGCCTCCCAAGTGCTGGTACTAAAGGCATGTGCCATCATGCCCAGCTTAAAGGTAGCTTTTTTTAAAAAATTATTCTTTTATGTGTATGAATGTTATGTCTGCATGTGTGTAAGTGCACCCATGTTGTGAAGTGCCCCTGGAGGATGGAAGAGAGCATCTGATTCCCTGAAACTGGAGTTAAGTTTGGTTGTTAGCCACTATGTGGGTGCTAGGATTTGAACCCAGGTCCTCTGCAAGAGTAACCAGTGCTCTTAATAACTGAGCCATCTCTGCAGCCCCCTTAAAGATAGTGAGTATTGCTATTTCCCCAACATTCATTTTTTACGTTTTTTTTTTTTTTTTCCATGGGTGTATGTGTGGGTTCCTGGTGGTCAGAGGACAACCTTCAAGAATCTGTTCTCTCCTTCCACCATGTAAGTGCCTGGGATCAAACTCAGGTGGTCAGGCTTGATGATAAGAACCTTTACTCACTGAGCCATATAGCTGGTTCTTCAAAAAAATTACTTACTGTAGCCAGGCGTGCACCTTTAGTCCCAGCAGTCAGGAGGCAGAGGCAGGTAGATCTCTGTGAGTTCAAGGCTAGCCTGGTCTACATCTCGAGATCCAGGCTAGCTGGGGCTACAGAGAGCCCCTGTCTCAAAAAGACCCCGCCCAAAAAAAATTTATAGGGGCTAGAGAGATGGCTCAGTGGTTAAGAGCACTGACTGTTCTTGAAGAGGACCTGGGTTCAAGTCCCAGCACCCATATGGTGACCTACAACCATCCATAACTCCAGTTTCAGGGAATCTGACTCCTTTTGACCTCCTTGGGCATTGCATGACATAGGTGTAGTTACACACATGCAAGCAATGCACTCATACACATACAAATAAAATAATTTTTTTTATCTTTTTGAGGCATGGTCTCCTTGTAGCCCCAACTGGCCGGGAACTCACTATGTAGATCAGGCTGGCCTGGAACTCACAAAGATCTGCCTGCCTCTGCCTCCTAAGTGCTGGGATCAACAGCATAGTGTGCACAACTACGCCCAGCAATAATAAATGTTTCTTTAAATCACTTATTATTAATTTGTATGTATGTATGTGTATAGTCCTTTATATTTTTTATGTTTGACTATTTTATCGTTTTGTTTTGAGATAGGAGCTCATGTATCCCAGGCTGGCCTTGAGCTCAGTATGTAGTGGAGGATGACCTTGAACTCCTGATCCTCCTGCTTCCATGTCTCAAGTGCTGGGATTGCAGGCGTGCACCACCTTACCTGTATACTTTTATTTTTAATTTTTGAAATATTTCAAGCCTTAGCTGGGTGGTGGCTCACACCTTTAATCTCAGCACTTGGGAGTCAGAGACAGGCAGATCTTTGTGAATTTCAGGCCACCTTGGTCTACATAGTTCCAATCTAGCCAGTGGTACATAGTGAGACCCTATCTCAAGAACAGCAACAAAAATTTTAGGCCCTGTAAGTTCCAAGGGCATGTTTGTTCACTGTAACACTGAAAAAGTCAAGTCCTGAAAATCAGCCAGTGTGTTAGTGCATGCCTGGGTTCCTAACGCTCAGGAAATGGAGTCTGAGGCTAGCCTGCATTACACTGTGAGACTCTGTCTCAAAGACCAAGGGCTGAGGATGTAGCTCAGCGGTGCCTGATGTGTTAGAGCCTGGGTTCCAACACCAGAACCACACATACAAAATAAAAGCTTTGAAAACCATTTGTTTTGACTGTTTAAACTGTGATATAATTGGTGCTGTGTTCAAGTCATTAATTGCTTCCAAATGGTCTCCCCTAGGAGACACAGTTTGAGGTTCCCTCACAGGGAATGGGAGGGCTTTTCCTTGCTCTGTCCTGCCCTTGATTAGCACAGCCTAACATTTTTGCTGGTCTGGGTCTAAAATAAAGTTTCATTTTTATCTGCTGTTTCCAGCGAGCCTCATGGTTTCTCTCTCCTCAGTTGTTTTTGTTTGGGGGGTTTCTTATGTTTTGACTTTTGAGACAGGGTCTCACTGTGTAACTCTGTCTGGCCTGGAACTCCCTGTATTGACCAGGTTGGCCTGCAACTCACAGAGATCTACCAGCCTCTGCCTCATGAATGCTGGGATTGAAGGTGTGTGTCACCATGCCACTCTGGGTTTTTGTTTTTGTTTTGTTTTGTTTTGAGACAGTCTCAGTGTAACTCTGGCTGGCCTGGAACTCCCTATGTAGAGCAGACTGGCTTGGAACTCAGTGATCCACTTATCCTTGCCAAGTGTTGGAATTAAAGGCATTATTTTTATCCTTGTAGGTTCCCACACTCCTGTGAGTTGTTTGTCTACTCTGGATTTTTTATTTTGTTTTTGAGACAGAGTCTCCCTGTAGCCCCAGCTGGCTTGGAACTTG